AGGGAGAGAGGGAATCCCAAGCAGGCTCCACACTGTCAGTGCAGAGCCTGATATGAGGCTCGAACCCCCAAACCGTGAGATCATGACCTGAGCTGAAATCAAGGGGCAGATACTTAACTGACTGAGCCACCCTGCACCCTTACAGTTCTATGAATTTTAACCCATATAGAAGTTGTGCAACCACTACCACAATCAGGCTACAGAACAGTTTCATCATGTCAAAAAATTCCCTGCAGAATCATGTTTGTGTGTATGTATATGGGAAAAAACCCACACATCATAAAATGTACCATCTTAACCATTTTTAAGTCTATAGTTCAGTAGTTTTAAGGATTTTTACATTGTTGGGGCGCCTGGGTAGCTCAGTCAGTTAAGTGTCTGACTCTTGATTTTGTTTCAGGTCATGATCAAGGCCCACATTCAGCTCCACACTGGGCATGGAGTCTGCTTAAGATTCTCTCTTTTCCTCTCCCTCTGGCCCTCTCCCCTGCTTGTGCACACACTCTCTCTCTCTCTCTTAAAAAAAAAAAAAAAGAATATTTACATTGTTGTAAAACAGAACTTTTTCATCTTGTAAAACAGAAACTTTAATACCCATTAAACAACTCCCCTGTGTCCCCTCCCACCAGCCCCTGGCAACCGCCATTGTGGTCCTTGTTTCTACGAATTGGACTATTTTAGATACATCACATAAGTGGAATCATTCAGTATTCGTCCTTTTGTGACTGGCTTATTTCCCTTAGCATAATATCCTCAATGTTCATTCATGTTGTACCATGTTTTTGACTTTTTGAAAATTGTTCTTTGACAATTTGCAAAAGGATATCAGTGACTAGGGTGTTGCTGGCCTGCAAGTCTTTATTAATCCATCTACCCTGGGGGGAATTCCCTATCTGTCCCTGTCCCAGGGCAAGGCTTGGGGTCTTAGAATTTGGCTCTGCCCTGCTACCCCCACTGCCTGCTCTCCCTTGCAAGGCTTCCAGGAGCCATTTGAATTAGACATGAGAACACACAGAAAAGCCCCTTAATCAGCAGGGTGCTTGGGGGACATCTCAAGATATGCATGGTGCGGTTAACCACACAAAGTATAAATAACTGAACTGGATATAGGCACCCAAGCCAGATATCCCATTAACTCTTCAGATAGAGGCAGATGTTGGGGATAAAAAAGTTTACCCCTTTTCCTTTGCACGATGAGAACTTGGAACATCGCACATAGGAGGAGCTGGGCAAACCTGGGGAATGAGCCAGAGTATAGAAATGACTGGGCCAGCCCAGGTGATAGGCGTCCCCAGGCAAAACTCCTAAATAATTTATTTGAGCCTCTAAAATGGAGTCAGATAGACATGTGTATCCTCTCTCTCTCTTTCTTTCTCTCACATTCACAAAGAGCCTAAGCACCTTTTCACTCAGCATCCAGAGAACCTTTGGTATGTGTAAATGCCAAGTAGTCTTCATAGCTTTAAAATCCATCACTCTCTGTGGTGCCCCCTTAAAAGTATTTAAAAACCTTTCATTTGTCTTTATAAGCAATGAAAACAGACATTCTTGGGGAGTGTTGTATTTACCCCCGTGTGTCTCCCCCCACTTTCCGGAAGCCCCATTTTCTCTGCTGGGAAGGGTGTGTGGAGGGGCTGGTAAGGAAGTAGCCTTAGATACTGGTTCCAGCAATTCCCAACAGGCCTCATGGGCCTGGGAAGCTACTTAAACACCTGGAGCCTCAGTTTCGTCTCTTAAGAAGGATTGCAACAGCCCTTTACCAAGAACTTGATAGAGTGTTCCACCCGGATTTCTAAGTTCTCTTTTCATGTGAATCCTTTTTTTTTTTTTTTTTTTTTTTTTTTTTTTTTTTTTTTTTTTTGAGAGAGAGAGAGAGCAGGAATGGGGTTGGGGCAGAGGGAGAGAGAGAATCTTAAGCAGACTCCATACTCAGCGTGGAGGCTGACTCAGGGCTCAGTCTCATGACCATGAGATCATGACATGAGCTGAAATCAAGAGTTGGGCACTTAACTGATTCAGCCACCCAGGTGCCCCTCATGTGAATACATCTTATCTCTAGGGTGACTGTATAAACTCTTTGCCTCCAAACCATGACATTTTTAAGAATGAAAAGTGATTCAAATACTAATTACACTGGGACAGGGTGTGTAAACTGGGATGGTGGCAAGCAAACAGCAAAGTATGGTGACTCTTCTTCCAGACTAAATTGGAAAGCTTCTTCCATGAAGAGGCCTTGACTATACATCTCAGTGTCCCCATCTGTATCTATCCTAGAGTGCTGTTCATAAAGATGCTCAGTGAACCCTGATATCTTCTTCTTTAAACTGCTTTTTTCCCCCAAAAAAATCTAACCTAGTGCAAATGTAGAGGGAAAGGCTTCTTGGTTTAGCTTAAACACCTTATTGTAGGGTTGGGTTGTCTTTGGCAGTTAAATAGCATCCATTGTGAATAGGAGACAACAGGTGGCCTGTGACTGGAAGTGGACCATTTTGGAGCAGGTCAGGATTGGGCTGCTGAGGGTAAGTTATGTCTGATCAGTCACAATCATGTGGCAGAGGCTCCTGGGACCACAGCTATACACAAGGAAAGGATTGTGTGTTGGCATACCCAAATAGGATTTCAGGTATCCACTTTGCACAAGAAAGTGCCGGGACTGTCAGAAGAAATGGAAAGAATTTTAAGGATTAACTGTTGGAGCCTAGAAGAGCAGGTTTACATCTCTAAGGGGGAGAAAAGACAAAGGTGACTTTAATTCCTTAACAGTATGCCTGGTGGGCACAAAGTTCACTTCAGTTTAGAAGGCTGTGGCTTGAAATTTGTGGAGAAGAGTCTTTTGAATTTCCCCAATAGATGGTGGATGGCAGTTGATAGCTGATATGTTCTGACCCCGCCGGTTGATGATGGTTGATGGCTGATGTGTTCGGACCCAGCCCTGAGTGGAGGAGGCAAGGAAGCCTTAAGAAAATGGGAGGAGCAGAGGTGCTTCTTTTGAAGCCATATAAGCAAGCTGTGAATACTGCTTTAGAAGGACATATCACCCAAGAGTGTCCGAGAGTGTGGGCTGTGCTCTGCTAATTCACATAACAGACACCAGAGACAAATCTTTGCAGCAAATGGCAGCCAAGTGTTGCATCCTAATAAAATCAGAATATCATGATGGTTTCTGATAGAGGATGTCCATTGTCTTCAGGAAGGGCATCCTTTGTTCTAATTGGCATAAAGGCACAATATGGGGTAATGGAGGCCATGGTTGGAATAGGCGGTGATCTCCTCACTGGGCAGTGATGGCAGCTACAAAAACCTGGGAGCTGTGTTGCTAATGGCCAATGTCCCAGTGATGTATGGAGTCAACAACATTGGTCTGGATGACAGCCAGGTTGGTGCTCATAGCAAAGCCCTCTGCTGGTCCCATTGAAACAAAGAGGAGAATTGCACCAAAGAGAAATATAGAAGGGCTTTATCAGCTGTGGTGGTATTGATGAGACAGCAGAGTCCTGCCAAGGGAAGGAGGGAACCATGAGCAGAGGCCTGGAGTAGAAGATTTTTCTGTCAAGCTGCTATTGTGACCCATTCCCTTAGGATGCTGTGTCCAGGGAAAGAACATTACACTGGGATTGGAAAACATTTATTTAGGTTATGTTCTTGAAATCATTTTTAAAAGTTAATTAATTAGTTAATTTCCAAGTAGGAAACATACTTTTATTGGGGTGGGCATGGAGCACACACTAGGCCATGATAAAATGACTTAAGAGAAAGACCTGGAAATGCTGACTTCTCACCCTGGCACACATTAAGAATGAAGCCTGGGCACGGAATAGATCCCAGCCAAGTCTTTAAGGCCCGTTCTGGAGAGTAGGAGCAGAGAGAAAGGCTCCCACACATGCTGCTGGGCCACAGCAGGGCCCTGGCTCTACCTGGCTCTAGACCCTTGCAGACACACTCCGGTTTTTC